CGCGATAAATTACAATAGGTTTCTATACAGTTATTGTAACGAAAGGAATGAACGGAAATGCGCGGGCGGTAACAGCAGAAAAAATTGTGCAAAGGAATCATCGAAATTACAAATAAAATTGTCGTATACGATGAAGGATAGCAAACTAATCTTTGCATTCATGAGATACTCTCGCGGATGTAGGACGATGAGAATATCATACCTCGAACAGAAACTCGGAGTTTGTTTTGAGTCTCGTTGCGTGATCAGTTTGATGCAATATCATCTGACAAGAATTTAGATTAAAGCTTTATTCCCTAACGGGAATATTAGATTGTCTTTCCAACGTTAATGTAACAAACGCTATGCGCCTGCAAGCAAACATGAATCTCGAAAATTATGATTACTGCGAAAATTATCGGACGGTATGTTGCATTGATTCTCAAATAATATCTGAGAACGGAAAACAGAAATAACAGAACAATTTAGTTACAGATTTTATGTTTGAAGAATAAAAATAATAAAAAATAATAAAAAAAATTATTTGTCAGATAGAGAAAATAAAAATATTTTCTTTACACTCTGTTTTATATTCTGTTAAATTTGAGTATTTTTTTTTACTAATATTTTTTTCTTTTAACATGTTCGCTATCATGCATCACGTATGTGTGACTTGGAATTATTATTTTAAAAAAATAAAGAATAGGAACTTAGGATTTAGAATCATTATTTAGAGTATTTAGTCGTTTGCTCTTTTTAATATATTCTCTTTATATACAATTACAACATGTACTATATTGTGAAGGAAAAATGTAGCATGATTTGTAACAAAGATTTCTCAAATCTGTCCGTGTGTCAAATATGTTAAATGCGGTAGAACTTTTACATTGCATATTATTTTTTCCAACAACAAAAGCAACAAAAAAAGATTAAAATATAGTTTTCATCAAAGTTTCATAAAATCTATCAAATCGCCTTAATACATGCGTACTGATCGACTATCGTGAAAGCACTTTTTTCATCGCAGTGTTTTATAGAAAAAAAATGGAACTTGTAAAATTTTATATCTGACCTAAAATAGTTCCGGGGAGACAAAAGGTTCCAATAATAGTCTCGAGTCCAATAACGTAGTCAAATAAAGCACGTTAGAAAGCCCGGTGGAAAACATCTGTTCGGACGAACTGCGGGTCAAGACGGGAATAATATACCGAGACCTGTCAAAGCCGGGCATATTGTCAACACGGAACAATCGCGGTGTTTCACGCATGATTACTCGAGAGGTTTGCGCGAGGTTGCCTATCTCGTTCGTACATGTCGAATAGAAGATCGATCGTTTAACGCGCTCGAAACTTTCAACGAGTGTCCCGCCGGATTGTCCTCCATCGAAGGTAGGTATCGCCGATCGAGATCCGAAAGAAATTTGATTAATGCCACGGTGTGCACAGGCTTGTTTGGCGACAACAACATAATTCTAACAATTATGCGAAAATGTAAAATGACGAAATAAATTGGAAAAATATAAACAAAAGCATGATAATTACGTATCATTTAAATCGATGCTTGATCAGCTTTTTTGATAGTTAAGATAATGTTGTTTTAGAAAAATTCTAGTAAAAGTGTAATGTGTTACGATTATTTCGAAGAATTTTCTTAGAATCTAATTATTTTAGTTATATATATATGGTATATTTAATGTAGTAAAAAAAAGATAACAATTAATACATAATAAGTAAGTTTATGATATTCTTTTTCTGTTCTTTTCTTATTGAGAGAAATTTTCTTTTAATATATATGAAATGTAAATTAAAATATTATTAGCTTAGTTTATAAACTTTGTAATATTCAATTGTATTGATTTTTAATCTTTAAATAATTAAATTTTTAATAATTAAATTTTGAATTAATTTTAATATTTTTAAATTATCTTTTATAAAATTATCTTTTTTAAATTATATTATTATACAATAAAGTAATGAATATATATAATCAATTAATATATACTAAAACTAGATAATTAATTAATTAAATAAGTATTAATTTTAAGGAATAATGATAAATTGATATATAAATTAAATATGTTATCAACGATTATTTGCACTATACTATAAATACTTATTTGCACTATACTATAAATTATCTACTATTATCACTAATTATACGCCAAAGTTTCATATGATAATTAATGAGTTTGATAGAATCCCTCTCTATTTAATAAACAAACTAAATGCCTCGATAATACTGTAATTTTAACACATTGAGAAGAATTACACAAAGTCTGTAATATTCACAGTCGCAAATTACAACTGTGAATATTGCAGGAGTGAACTTTTTCAACTTACCGGTATCATAAAACTGTCTAAAAGTTCAAATAATAAAGAAAGTAAACACAATTCTTATAAATCTCGAATTTTTCCTCCGCAGGACTATATCTAATAAAACATGTGTTGGAGCAAGTAAATATTTGCGCAATAAAACAACTTCTTTCTTTTTATGTAATTAATTATTATTATTTCTAAATCATTTTATTAATATTTCTTTTTAAAATATTTATATATAAAACGTGAACAACTTAAATCTGATTGTTGCGAAACGGGCGACCTATCCAGACGGGTTGATATTTTATTGCGTATCACTTCGCGTTTAAAATATTAAGTCAAGTTTAAGAGATTGCTCAATTCTGTGTAATAAACGGAATCACAGTGGAAAACAAATAAAGATAAATTCTCCTTCGTACATAGTGCACAATTTATCGCATGCGCATTCGCACAGCAAATAAACGACGCAGATTTTGGATGCCGAACAAAGTTCTTCTAGGCGGATGAAGTTTACAAATGGACCAAAATTCTTAAAGTCAGATCCGAAAGGACAGATGGGAAGATAATAAGGAAGCAGGCGGTGAAAGAAATGAGACATATAAAATTCTCGGTAATAAATGACGCAATATCGAAGGATCTAATACACTTGATATATCCAGTAGGACATGTAGTTGTGGATTTGGTTCCCCTTCGAATCTGATTTAATCAAGAAAAAGGACAAATTTTGGTGGTAAACGTCTGTTTCATCGCCGCATTTACCTCACGGAATTGTAGAGATCTGTTTAATCTCGCTTATCAAACAATTACGGTCCATCTGTGAGAGCGTGATAATGATTCATCGACCTCGAGTCAGCTGTTGAATCTAACCTCCGAATATAATCCTCTAATTGCAATTTATCGTACAACATGCAACCGTATGAACGATATTATTGTTAATAACTGTAATATGATTATATATAATTAATAGTTATTATCAACAATATGAGATAATAATTTAGCATTTATCGGCCGTTTGTGATTATTACATCTAGTCTTCTTCCTAGTAAGTCTTCCTCGTAGACAATATCCCTTTCAACATAATTAAATATAAAATAATATTGATATCTTTGGTATTTAATAATAAGATGAAATATTATTATGTAATGAGATTATTATGTACGAGATTACTTATGTAACTAATTCCTTTAACCGTTTTTATTTGCACAAGTGTTAATTTTCCATCCTCATAGAAAAATATTGAAAGAACACTTCTCTTGCTTAAACACACAAAAAGCGTAGTTCTCTTTCATGAAGTATAAAGACACTTTGGAAAAAGATCCGGGGTACCTAAACGTAAACTATCCAGAGAGTTGAATCTTGAGGATAAATGACGCTATTAATTTTTCGTCGAGACGTGAAAAGAAATGGAATTACATACCAAAATAAATAAATAAAATTAATCATTTTAAACAGGAAAGAAAGAACAGAGTTAACAGCGATGAAAACGAGCTTATTTGTGTCATTTCCCACAGATTTAATGTTTAATTCAATAGACAGAACTGCGCTTTGCGTCCACGAATTCTCGTGCGCAAAGCACTTATGGTACAATTAAATATCGTATTAATTGATCGTATTAATATCGTTTATTGGTACACCGGTATTAATTAGTTACACGCACATGAGCGACGCCCTTTACCGCCGCGATGAAACCGAATGTATTTTTAGTATTAATAATCATATTTGTACAACACGTTCGCGCGTATACCGCAAAACTATGTGGAAAGCATAATCGAAGCGAATCAATCTGACAGCACGATGGCGAGATGTTTCTAATGTTGAATAACAACACATAGGTTATTCTGCTTTCCGGATTATGCTCTCGATTTTCGCATAAATCAGAATTATAGCGCGCGCGAATGACACGTGAATCGTCATCTAAATATTTCTGACTCGTGTGGCATTAACGTAATCGGTAAAGGTTGAATTTGCACAATAAGTGGTGACGCGATTTATCGGATTATCGGATTATCGCTGTCGATCGACATAAATAAATTTTATTATTTATGCCGCTCGGTAACACGATTGGTAACACGATCGATTGTGACGCACGCAAAGAGATACAAAGTAAATACAAATATTTCTTTCATTAAATTTTATTCAATTCAATTCTAACAATTGATCTCTTCAACGAAGAAATCTAAAATAAAATTGCAGAAAATCATCGCAAAATTGTCAAATTTTTTGATAGAAAAATATTTGATCGTCTTTTCGAAGAATATCAAATTTTTATTTTATTTTGCAAAAAACTTATTAAAAAAAAATATTAAAAACTTTTGCAGCCAGAAAGAGAAACTCGAGTACTACTTTTGTGCGTATTACTAGCGGGATGGCAGATGCGTCTTTTCATAGCGGAACGGATGTCTATTCTCTAAAACTATTCTCGAATTTGCAATGTGACTTATTTAATGCCATCACGACGTGGCGTCTCGCTTATCTATCTGCGAAGATAAGAAATAAACGTCAAATATTCTACGATCGTGAATCGGCAGAATGCTGATTGCCGTAATATCGGAGCCCGATGTCGTAACACGCGCCGAAAATGAGGAAACGTCAGGGAGATAAATAAACGAAAGTTTTGTCAGCTTCTCGGCCTGGTGTCTCCGGCGAGGCCTGGCGCGCGACTTTCCTCAATCGAAGCGGAAGGAGAGCGTCGGGAGTTACACTTACTTGTTGAATTCAACAAAATCTCCGATCGAAGATCCAGCCAGGTAAATGTCCTCGAGTGGAGTCCTCCCTTCCCGCGATTAGCGAAAGGGTTGAACGAGAGGGACGCACGAGATTCCAATTCTCTCAGGAGAGACGCGAAGAAGGACGATCTCGTCGATTACTTCCGGCTCGACCGAGCCGCCAACGTTTACGTCGACGTTATGTTGGGACCGAGTTCAAAACCGAACTGACGAAAGGGTTAAAGTCCAAGACAGCAGCGGTAGTGGTAGCTGGTGATGGTGGTTGCCAACGATGATCGTGGACGACGGGGTACCTGGACGGGCGCCCTTAACAGGTGGCACGCACGACAGAGTTCCTCACTGTCCAGAGTGCTAACGACGTGTGACGTCGACGGCACGGTGCGAGAGGGCTTTTATAGCCGGTCGGTGCCGGCCGACCCGACTCGATCCGTCTCCACTCGACTCGGCGCGACCTTCCTGCCTCCTGCCTGCCCAGAGATTCTTGGCCCTATCAACTGGTTTGTCGTTACATCTTTCCACTCCCGGATTTATCACTCAGGCCTCCCTTCGCGTCCCTTGCTTTTGCACGAGGGAAGATTCATGAAGTGGATACGTGATGCCATTTATCGCGTTTATACATATTCATTCTTAAGGATCTTTCACCCCCGCTCTTTGACGCTTCTTTCTGTCGCAAATTTATTTGAGAATTAAAAGAAATATCCTAGGAATAATTATGGAACTTTTTAATGTTGTTGTAATATTGTATTTTTGTGTATGCCACTTGTGTTTTAATCTGAGAGAGATATATTAAAAAGAATTTTTTTAATTCTGTATTATTATTCTCAAAATGTTAATATTGAAAAAAGATGGGAAGAAAATTTTTAATTATTGTATATAAAATTATTGATTTACATATTTATAATAACAAAAATTAAACATATGTACATATTTTAACATATTCAGTAATTTTCTCTTCTATCTTTTTCCACAGATTATTAATTGAAAAATATTTTATAATAAAAAATTTAAGAAATTAATCTATTTACACACCACACACACACACACACACACACACACACACACACACACACACACACACACACACTTTATATATATATATATAAAATACAAATCTCGACAGCAAATCATATTTTAATATTGTTTAAATAAATAAATAAATAAATAAATTTGTACGGAAATCGCAAAATGTAATTATCACAAAAATGTGTGTTAATTAAAAAAGATTAATTCTTAATACATAAACATATATAACTTGTCTATTCTTAATTAACTTATAATTATTTTATTTTACTTAGGCATGTAGCTCAAGTTTTTTATTATATAAAATTATATAAAATTATATAATTATATAAAAATTATATAAATATGTGTTTTTCCACATGTTTTATATTAAATATAGAAATGCTATTTGAAGAAGAAATAGAATATCAAATTAAATTTGTTAATGCTACTGCTATCCATGCAGATATTAAAAATACGTATCAACAACAAAGGACTGCCGAAAATAAGAAACTTGATAAAAAATTATCCCTTTTTTCTTCAATCATTTTTATTTACTATTCATCTTCAATATCCGTTGAAAGAAATAGTCGCGATGTACTATAACCCATTGTAAGAATGCTTCTACTTCAAAGTAAGCAACCTTGGTATAAAAGAGCAAATTGAGACGTAAATTATTAACAAGAATGGAAAATTGTAAAATACATATTAAAAACCTCGGAATCACTTTTTACAAATTTATGAGAAATACTTTTTATCATTTTAACTGTAAAAAAGGAAATTTAGAAATAACTCCCTCTCTCTTTCTCTCTCTTTCTCTCTTTTATTTCACAAAGATATTTATATAGATAATTTTTAAAATATTTATTATATATTTATATTGTAATGCATGTTCACTTACACGCACAATTGCTAGTGATTAGTTATGAAAATCTGCAATAATCTGTAATATCTGTAAGGACGAAACTTTCTATTATAAAGTTCATCGAAATTATGCGAGGATTCACTCTAGCTATAATTATATTTTGAATATGGTAATGATACAAATAATCCTATAAAATGTTGTTATTGTAAGGTTGTAAATAATTTTATTATCTAACATTTTCCATTATGTGTATAATATATTCGAGATGCATGTGCGCATCTCGTACATAATACTCAAATACGATAATTTGTATACAATTTTTATAATACACTTTAATAATGCATTATTTAAGAATATTTAATAATAAAGTGCTTTTAATGTTAAATGTTATATGTCACGTAACAATATTAAAATGCACAAACATCCAAATAATCTAAAATGTGAGAACATTAAGCGTACATGTTGTTTTCATAAATAGATTATGCAGTAAACAACTGCATAAACAAATATTTGGATAAAATATAAAGAGATTGTTATCGAAGAGATAATTCAATAAATCAAGAGCTAAATGTGAAAATAATTTTACTGAAGAAAACATATAAAATTAATCAAGAAGAATTAAAACGTGAATACATTATGCGTGCAGGTAAACAAAGGGAGATAAGGGAGAGAAATCTCAGTCCGGTCTACAATTTATCAATGCTAATTGACCGTTAATTCAATGAACGATAATCCAATGGTTCACTTGATGCTATGCCAACGAATATATTGTCGAAACCGCTACTCGCCGTGCTTTAGTGAAATTCCACCCTAACGTAATTAAGCAACGCGTCATCGAGGCGCAACTTTATCGTTGTGTCCAACGTCGTCCTGCCCAACACTATCTCTGCCATTAGCACTTCCATCATCTGAACCTCCTTCTTGATATCACCTCAATGATATAATTCTCAATACTTTTCATATCGAACTTTGGGTTATTTTTGAAATAATTCATTCATTTTAAACGTACTTTACTTAAAAAATATATCTTTTTGTCTCAGAATTGTCTGATTTAAGTTCAAAACTGAGAGGCAACTTTCTTATTTATATGGCATAAAATAAACATTTTTCACAATTAAATAGTTATTTGTTATTAAAAAGTTATTTTTGTTTTTTAGCAAATAAATTTTAATATTACTCTCTTTTGTTTCGTTCTATTTGAAATTTGTAAAAGGTAATATAAATTATTTATTGACATGCAATTAGAAATTTATAAGATAGTCAAATCTACATAGCAAAAGAATGAATGATTTGTTTTATTGTATCTCGAAGAATTAATTTTCACAGTGGAATAACTAGTCGTCTGAACCGACATCACACGACGTTTCATAAAAGTCATCAGAATTAAAAGAATGATACGGACACCAATATCTATATCTAGATGTAAATTGGAAATTTTTCATAATATAACAATTAATTTAATTAATTAATTTTAGAATAGAGATTTTCAAAATAAATTTTATAACTTAATGATTTCTAAAATTTTTAAAAATTACTTACATTAAATTGATACTTCTTATTGTATAAATTCATTTTTTGTAACAATGCATCTGTTCTAAAGATACAAGACAAATCCGTTTCCTGTTTTATGTATTCAGATACAATTCAAAATAAGCCAGAAAGAGACAAAGATAATAAGCCAAAAAGAGACAAAAATCTACAAAAAATAAAAATAACTTAAAGAACACAATAAATGGCATTATTTGATGGGCAGAATCTTAGATGCCTAATAATTTTTCTTTTAAATTTATATACCTGTATACAAATTCAAGAACGATTGCTTATATCGCGAATCATGTTATTTTTAACAGATTTGCGACGTAGCAGCTCAAAATCATAACTAAATTTTCTTCCTTAATAAATCGATAATGAAATTTGAAATCGATTATTTTCTCTCTCTCCACGAAAAATTTTCTTATTGTAAAAAACCTCACCTCAGTTTAAACTTGGAATCTCCTGATTATCCATGTCGAATATCTTTACCGATCCGAAAGGAATACTTAATTTAACTACGACAGTTAACAAAAACACATGTGTGTATTTATACACACATGTGTATTTATACAAATTGCTTTACAAAAAAAATATTATTCGGAAAACAAAAACATATGATCAAAAGACAAATTAAAATATTCTTATTTATGAAAAATATATCATATTTTATTATGAGAGCATAGTCTTTTTTAATTTTTTTTTTTTTAAACTAATTAATAACATTTATGCAAAAAATAATTTGAAAAGGAAAGCATAAAAAGAAAAAAGAATTCACCGAGGAATTCGTTAAATATTCGGTTGTTTTATTTGTCATTTTGTCAAGATAGTTTATCGAAAATATATAGCACATTCCAATTGAATGTGTTACGCGCACCATGCATATGAAACCATGTACGTGTATGTCCGTATATGTTCGTGTGCGAGAAAGAAACAAAAGCGTAAAAATCTGTACTGGACTTTTAGCGACCTGCGAGTACGAGGCGGGCGTTAGATTAAAAGCGGAATTAATTAACTCATGTGCATGTGTAATACATTGATGTATGCGCTTGTGTTCACCATCGATGCTTTATGCATCGCATCCTTGCCGCGTGCTGTTACACTGGTGATCGCAATGGACAAAGGAGGATTGATCATCCGTTTCATTCGATTTCGCGGTGAGGCTGCGCACGAGTTTCCTTTTATCGGATCATAAATGAAAAAAATGTTGCCATGCACACGAACGAGACGCGGCCTACACACGACGATAATGTCTGTAGTTGTAAATGCTTTGTAACGTAATGTAATTCGAATGAAATTATAACTGAGAGATTTTGTCTCTGACATTGAATTTGAAGTTATCCCGCTGGAATAAAAATCTTTATTAAGAGAATTTTCGATGTAACACGAATTTGAAAGAATAAAGAGGTAGCAAACTTGTGTTTGTTAATTTTATTCCTTATATTTTATTTTATTAATTTTTTAAAATAATTTTATTGATCTCATTTATTTATTTCTCCTATTTACCTACTTTTTCAATACCTAAAAAATTATTGCTACAATTTCAGATAAGAAAATATCGATTTTAAATTCTTGGATAAAAAATAAATTGCAATAAATTGAAGCTAATATTCTTCAATAATTAAAACAGAGGAATAAAGGACTAAGAGTAAGTTTATTCTCACTAATCCTTTATCTCTCTGTTTTAATTAATGATAATTTCGAGAGTATCAATTTTATTATATATTAATTTTAATATTCTTCACTTCCTTTTTATAATAAAAAAAAATACTTTGTCATATGTAAGTAAGAGTAAATAGCGCACACATTCGAGTCAAGTAAAATAAATATTTCATTTTATTAAAATTAAAGCATGTTATGTAAATATTAATGTATGTTAAATATGCTTTTAGACATCGCTAAATCAATTTTAAAATTTTAAATTTTATTTTTATATGCTTCAGTTATTTCACGCACGTATCCAAATTTTGCGTCAGTATCATATCGACACATAATCGATATATAATGATCGACGATGCGTTAATGTAAATAGTTTCGTAAATATTGCGTAACATTTATGCGCGAAAGCACCATGGCAGCATTTCGGCACGTTTCAAGAGCCATGCACTCGGATATTCATGGCATTCGACTCTAAGCATCGGTCGAACTCGATAAATGCATAATGGAAACGAAGCACAAATGGATCGATCCGATCGATAGACGCGAATCATCGACGAGAATTATTGCGTTCAACCTAATTATCTTCACTATATTCCTGTTCCGTGTACAAGAATCGTCTTTTATTAAATCGTAACGTTTCAAATTTCTCCTGAGTTATCAGGAAATGCTTTTGTTAAGGTTAAAAATTTCCGTTATGAAAATATTTGTAGTTTGTAATAAAATATTGCATTTTTCCCTAGAGTATCTCCTTTGTGTAATTCGCGTTTCAATCTTTTTCTAATCTACACGTACAAATAAACAATTGTGAAAACTTCCCTTACGTAAAGAAACTCTGTGATTAATGCGACAAAATTAATTTTGAATTTATTGCAACATTACGTTTTATTCACATAGAGATATTTTATATGTATTAAAACGTTAAAAACATATGAAGATTAAAAATAAAAAAGTAATTTATGTCAGATGTCATGATACACTTAAAAGTAATATAATAATGTTGAAATATTATTATAATATAATAACGTTAAAATATTTAATTTTATAACGTTAAATTTAATTTGTATTTAATTTTTTCAATATTGAATATTATATTAATTTCATAGAATACTAATTTCCTAGAATAATTTAAACTACTTTTAATTTATATTTATATTAATTAATTAATCTTTATTAAAAATAGTTAGGTACAATTAATTTGTAACTAATTATTTTAATTAAAATTTTGGATTGTAAATTAGTTAATTTAAAATTAGCTAGTACTTGATTGATTATGCGTCTTAATGATTATTCAATTTCAATTATTTTTCTTAAGTGACATATAGTGTTACTTAAGACAGAAAAATAGGACAAAAAACGTGTGAATATGTATAGGAGATTACGTATTTCAAATACATGAACGCCGACGACAACGTAGGAAGTTAAATCACGTCTGCGATCTAACGACGACGCGTTAGATTCATTCAACAACTGTTTTTTCAAGCGTGAAATCTAAATATTTATACGACGCCCTGCTAGTTGCAGAGATTAGAAATAACAGCAGTCTTTTACGACATATGTGTAATATATTCGGCAGAAATTACGATTGTCCGGTCGGCGCCCTCCGAAAGCGTGATGTAACGCGGGTGTGAATGCAAAATACACGCACTCACGTTCACAAATATAGCGGGTGCGTGTTCCCCGTTTGTATAATTACAAGTTACGAGCGTGCTAATGTTGAATCTCGCAAGAATCGTAGGAGGAAATCGTGTTCCTGCAGCGACATGTATTCCGTTATGAGGTCATCCGGGAAAAAGATATAAAAGACTTTACTTTTATCTCTTCTATCGAGTTTAGCTAACGCAAACGTCAAGTACAGATGGCGACGTTATTCATATGTGTATGTTGAATATGTGTCAATTATTTCTTCAAAATAGAGAATCGTATTTTGGAGGCAAATATGAGTATTTTCTCTTTTATTTTTATATATGAGATCTATGGGATATATGGGATTGTTGATGGCCGGAGCGTTAGCTTTTCTTCACGTGGCTTTAACGAACAAAAATTCTTGATTTTAAATCAAATAATTTACATTTAGATTCATCAGATTCTTTTTCCAGAACTGTAACTTTACATTTCTTCGAATTAGAACATAACGGAGCATTTTGCGAAGGCCGAAATGTTCACCGTAAAGGGAACTATAGAAACTACTTACTTTCTTGCGTTTGAAAAGGAGGAATTATTTTTCCACTGAATTTTAATTCAGTAAAGCCGAAAGTTCTATATGACATGCAAAGCCTTGTAATTTACGCAGTAAACTCAAGAAATTCTATAAGTCATTATTATCAAATATAAAAGGATAAAAAAGGGTTTGATTTTATCACGCTGTTATTACATTGCGCAGCAAATAGCAAGGTATTAATTGCTCGCAGCAAAGAAGTACGCAGTCGGAATTATGAAACGTCTACTTTCTTGAATATTACACTTATTCATCAAATGAGAAGAAAAAGAAACGTGCAATTTCTTTACCCCGAAGAAAGACGCCAAATTGAAAGGCAAATCTTTAAAAAAGGTGTACGCGAGCATGCAATTATGCACAATTGCTTGATTCGGATCAATCAATTCTTATTTGAGATATTAAATTGCGCAATCGATATGCTACATCAGAGAAAATTCCTCTCTTTCTCCACAACACCAAATATATAATTACATGGGAAACTAAATTTAATGGTAGCGGTTACTAATAAACTAAATTCGATGAAGTATTAAAGGGATGGCGAAAATAGTGGCTCGCGAGGGCGTATAATATCAACTTATGATTGGTTAAAATGTATATAAGATTAATTTTCTTAGTCGAGATAACCGAATTATATTAATACAACTAAAGTTATAGCGAGCGTAACTTTCTCAATTAGCGTAACTATCGGCTTACTGGAACTTCCCCATTCATGATTTCTCAAATCGTCCAACATTCTTTAAACTGACGGGTTTTAATATTTTACTTTCAAATCAAAAAGTGTAATGCAATTTTTTAGCATCAACAAAGTAATACAATGTTTGAAAAAAGATCGCATAAAATTGAATATTGTTTATACATTTCATCATACATAAGATTAACAAATGGCAGTAATATGAGGTATTTATCTATTGTTATCTTATTATCTATTGTTTATACAACAATTAATATAATTTGTTAAACTAGATAAAAGTCTAACAGATTTATATTATGGATTACAAATCTATCTGTATCTAATTCCTTATAATCCATATTTAAGACAAAATCTCAATCGATTCCCAATGTAGACTCTCTAGTAAAAACATCTCATATTTTTTATATTAAATTAAAAACTACATTAAAAATACATACCTTTTAAAAGATGAGATTTTTGTATTTATTTTGAAAATCTCTGCAAAGATTGATTTTATCGCTATAACATAATTCATATATAAATATCTAAAAATTAATTTAAACAATTGATTTCTGTTATTTTACATGTAAAGTTTTACATGTAAAGAGGCAGTGTTGATTTGCCGTAGGTTTCGTGTTTATCACATAACGTAAAAATTTCAGACAAGAGAATTCACGATATATAGATCGTATTCATTCGTGACTTATGGATTTACTTTTTTGCAAACTCTTGATATCGGGGATTTAGATCGTATTCGTATTGTCGTACCATGGCGGCATCCATCTAGATGGTGTCTTAGGTCTTCCGCGAGAAACTGGTACCGGGACATCAAAATTCCTGTCGGTACGTCTTCTACGATCGTTACGTCTACCCGATAAATTCTTCGAAGCGTTATCCAAAATTACAAATGGTTGATCGTTGACGCGACGATCCTGCCTGCTTCTACCAAAGCTGGGCGAATACGGCCTGACATCGTTGTCCCGAATCGCACGGTCAGCTGAAGGGCTGCGTATTCTTTCGGAAGACTGTCCAAAACCTCGACCAAAACCTCGCGGCTCGTTGTCGACATCGCAGACGTGCAACCGATAAGTCGGACTGGGAGATCGCGTCCTCGTAACGATCGCGCGATCCGTCAATTCCGTCAACTGCGTCGGTCTCGGCGCCATTGCGGCTTGAGACAACCTGGAGCTTCTGAAAATCGCAAATCGTAAAAAATTATTATTTACTAAAAAACCCCCCCAAGAAGATAAACATTTTCAAAGCCTTTTATCCTCAAAATTTCCATCCAGAAGAATCTTTTATTTTAAATCGGAAATCTTGCGTTTTACTTTATCTCGATATTAAATATTTAATTAAATAATTCAAACGTACCTTCTGCTAGCGGGCGGGGGTTTCCCAGTGACATTCTCGTCGTGAATCCGCGTATCTAATATGCAAAAAGCATCCTGTCCTCGGGCGACAATCGGGGTTTTGTCGCACTGACCGCCACCGCTATCATTCACCCAGTAATGTTCTTTCTTTGTCACGGTGCACGGACTACGATCACCTCTACCATGAGTGGATCTAAAGTCACCGCAATCTTGACGATCGTATTTTGCGCAATAAACGTTCCTGTATTCCGGTTGAAGCTCCAGATTACCCTCCAGCCGCAGATTAGCCGGCATCTTCAGTGTCTCGACTCTCGGTACATATCCATAAGGAACATACTGGGATCTCACCTCGCTGGTAGGTTCGTATTCAAACGTACGACATTCCTGAATTGGTTTGCCAAAGCACGCGCTACTACGACCGGAAGAAGATACTCCTGTCGGCCGCAACATCGACGGCGGTTTACGATAGACAGGACGATCACGCGGATAGTCGAGATATTTGGATTGATATTCCGGATCTTGGTCAATTTTCATAGAAAACTTGGAGCGCGACGGCGAAGTCACTTTTGAACCATCGGCACGGCCTATCTCGATTTCCGGCTTCGCGATCTTCGGTCGTTCACGTGGAAAATCCTAATAAATAATTATAACTCTATGTAATTTCCTATATAAGTATACATTTTTTTTACTTCAGAAATCTTAAAATATAACTATATGCAAATTATAATAAATTAGCTTCAATCCATTCGTAGTACATGTACGATACAAAAGAAGAAATATTTTTCTCTCTCTTTTTCTAATTTTTTAAAAATAGATTTTACATTATCAAATACATGTGAAATATTAATTTACTACACGTAAAATATTAATTTATTTTAACATCGTACAATACAAGAAAAATTCACATTAAGTTCCACGTTTGACGTCATAGTTTAATATTAAAAAATTACAGAAAGAAAATAGGATTTTTAAATAAAAAAATGGCTTGAAAATTTCATATAATTAAACATACATTTTTAACACACATAATTAATACCTTGTACGCATCGCGATATTCCGGAATTTCGAGCGGGCGGCCATTTAGATCCTCCAATTTCGACACCAACATTTTCATCTCCTCATCTTTTTTCCGCTCCTCCTCTTGGCTTTTCATCCATCTACCTTCTTCATTACTGTCTTTAGCCCGTTCGGCTATTTCTTGTGCCTGTTTAACGGAAGGATGAACGAAATTTTCGGTGCTCTCTGTGTTTGGGTAAAAGTCTCCGCCAGTTTGTAAGTGCGTTTGAGATTTTTGTGGCTGCAGTTTATCTGTAATATGCACTCCAAAAAAGGGAATGGAGATAATAACCCTAAAGAGAGCTACTATATTTGACTAACAAATAGATTTTAAATAACAACTTCAATATTATTTCCCTCAAGTCCTAGCGGAAGATATTTTTTTTCTTAAATATAAATATTTTTTAATATCACTTTTTACTTATTCATTCGTCATTTAATATATCATTTTTATTTTAATTTAACATTATTACCTTTCACGCTGTAATCTCTAAATACATCGGTATATTCCGGCATGAAATAAGTATCTCCCTCAAGCTTTAAGTTTGTGCTTCGCCTCAACAATTCTGGTCTTCGTGCGCCCACGAACGGAACGTACTTGTCCTGATTTTCCGTCGCTGTTTCCAGCTCACCTTCCATCTTCAGGTGAGTAGGTACACGCATGAGTTCCGGTCGGCTAACATTCAGCCACTCGATAAATTTCTCGCATTTCTCTGTCATAGTGTCCAAATCGCCTTCCATTTTCAACGACGTAGGTCGACGCATAAGCTCGGCACGATGCTGGCCTTCATAAGGCACATACGCAGAATATGTTTCCGTATCGGTATAAAAATCGCCGTCGCACTTTAAACTGGTACCCCTTTTTGCAAAATAATAACGATCGATTTCCAATGTGAAATTAATGGTAAGTAAACGATTGAAATTAATTGTAAAAATTTGAAATAATCTTCTTAATTTCTTCAACAATATTTATATGCAGCAATATTTAACATCTATAAATTAATTATTTAAAAAATTTTTAGATTATTTAATGAAAAATATATTTTGAGATTTTAATAGAATTTTTATAGAAAATATATAATTTACATTATTACAAAGAATTAGATTGACATATCCGCAAGAAGATAATTTACGTAGCTGTCGTAAATCGCAATGTCTTGAAATATACTTTTGTACTTTATTAAATGTCACAGAGGTCCACAATAAAAAGCTCAAGAAAGCACAAAGCCGATTTCGTTGCCAATTTAGTTGCATGACAGTTAGTTTTATGCTTCTTCGATTTGCGTAAACTCGCGTGTCTCGGAACAGTTTCAATATAAGTTTACGAATTTATGATGGAAAATAAGTCTTAGTAAAATTAACTAAACGAACAGCCAAATTAGAATTGCATATCAATCTACGTTACAATGTAATATTTTATTGCACAGTATTTATAATTTTATTATTTTTATACTCTATTAAAAATATCATTCATTATTTCTATATTATTTTCTTACAGTTTCTATCTGAACAATTATATAAATATATATGTCTATTATAATTATGTATTCGTACAATTATCGCATTAATAACAGTTTACCTTCTGACAGGTGAAGGACGTCTGAACAAAGTCTCAAATTGCGGAGCTCTTGTCTCCATCACTTCATTATCACGAACCATTTGCGACGTACTCTCCTGTTCTCCTAATGGATCCTCAATGACATCGGGCTCTTTGAAATCCATGCAATGCGAAGATTGCGCATTCTCGGGAGTTCCATCTACGCGTAAATAATCTTCAGGCCAGACATTTTCCTACATATTTGAATATAAATCAGCATACTGTCATTTTTAGCATAATTTTTAACTTACATTTTTTTAATATATAAAATATTAAAGAAGATAGACACTCGGTACTCGCAAAGAACAATTAGAAATGTTTAATTAACACAAGCATAGAAATTTATGTTTCTGTGTATTTGTGACGTAAAATTATAATATTTTAATTCAGGTTGTTATATTTTATATATTGTTTTAGCAGGATCTCATCTTTTGATTAATTCTAGTACAATTCAGATATTATTTACACTCTATTTTAATAATTAAAAAGAACTTAAAAAGCAAGAATCTCTTCAGAGAGTAATTATATCTCATATCAATACCTTAGAGAATTCTTTGACATTTGCACCAAACGCACGCCGATATTCAGATGCAGAATACGGAACTACCGTTTCCGGATGAGATGGCAGATTATCCTTCGGTCGATCCTGCACGCGTTTCCTTCGATAACGAGCCAGCTCGTCGACGGTTAATTCTTCGAGAAATGGCCATCTCTCCTTGGTCTTACTCTTACGTCCTTTCCCCTTGCCTTTATCCTGCGCTACCTCGGAATCCGAGGACGATTTGGCCCCCCTTCGAGTGGAGGATCTTTGCCTAATCGTAATTAATTAGAACCATGACACCATGCGTTTGGAATAATTTCATTTATATAAATTTTTCATTCTTCTTAGAATATCATTATTTTTTTAATTTTAATTAAAGTAATTTTATTTCTATAAATTTTATTTTTGGGGTATTATACGTCTAATAATATTCTTATTGTTTTGCTTTTGAAGAAAATTATTTGCCATTTTTCGCTTCATTTTTATATTATAAGCTTTGCTAATTTAGACCGTCGACTTCACGAACGTTCCGAGCGGACGATTTGCGACATGATGTGGATGGGTAACACGAGCTTACTGAAGATGACGAGGTACCAAAGTCGCGAATTAGGAATATAAGAGGGCGGGTCGGCTAGAACGGCGAGGAGGCACAGGGAGGACGAGGAACAGGAAGAGAGTGGTACGATGGTACCGCGTGTGTATGCGGTTACAACGGGCTCTTCCAGACGCGACGAATCGATCTACGGAATGCGCGGAGCTTGAAAAATAAATCTCATCCTGGTCTAATGGCTCGCCCGCACGTCAGTCCTCGTGAATTATGTCGAAGATGAGCGTGATACCCATAAGATGTCTCCGAAATGTCACAGTTTGAAAAGAGATTTTAAAAATGAGAAAATTCATTTTTTTAGATTCTAGATTTTAATTTGGAGCATTAAAATAATGGTCCATCTTCAAAAAGAGTCGCGATAAAGACTGCGCGCGTGCGAGAAAAATGATAAGATATGGTCTTCATAACCAATTAATAAATCATTTATTAATTAATCATTTATAATTAATATATAAATGTTATATGATTATTTATGAATTAATTAGCATGTATGTAATTTAAGCAATCCAATCAAGTGAATGTATATTTTTATCGTTAAAAAGTATCAAACAGATATATATAATTAATATTTTTAATATGTGATATTTCTATCTGTCGTCATTTCATTGACATACGAGACGTATAATATCTGTGTTGTCTTATTACAAATTGGTCTGAAATATTTTATGCAAATAAATTATACATATATAATATTTAATCCAAAGAAAAATAAAATTATTACTTAGAAATTAAACTATCACATAACAACCCGGTATGTCAGCGTGAAGGAGATTAGATGTCAAATGGTAACGTGGCCGAGCGGTCTAAGGCGCTGGTTTAAGGCACCAGTCTCTTCGGAGGCGTGGGTTCGAATCCCACCGTTGCCAAATTTTTTTCCTTCGAATTAAAGAAATCGTCTTAATTTTTGCAATCATATCGCATATTATGCAAAAGACTACCAAAGGCATCTTTCCTATAACTTTATATCTCTCTACGCTCGGGAATTCGACAAAACGCGCAACCTAATGAATTTAAATTTGACAACTGGATTTTTGGCGACACTTGTCTCGTTCTCTCAAAATTGTATCGTTCTCTTTTATTCCTCGCCCTCTTCGCTTGCTCGTTGATTTACTCCCTGGTCGATCCGTAATGTCGAGGTTTCGTTTTGTCCGACCCAATGGCCCCGATTTAAACAGACCCTACCCTTCCCCACGCCGACTTTCTCCGCACGACAAATTTGTATGCGCGGCTAAATTAATGTCCGTGCCACGTGGTCGCACGCACTGACTAACTCGCGATTCGACGTGCCGCCGGCCGGTCAGTTATTCTGCGGTCTCAGAATGCGTGATTCAATCTGAACGCATTTTACAGAGCCACCAACGGTGCTTGCACGCGAGCTTTCTTCGTAGGAGGAATCCAGGCCGTGGCCATCAAAAGTCTCTCACCTATCTCGTCTCTTATCGCCATGCTTTTCATATCAGCAAGGTTTAATTAAAAACACGAGACAATCATATTTTATTTTAAATCTTTTATCTTTATTTATCCCTCGATCCTCGAAAAGTACCGCACCGCTCGGTATTCCTTTACCGCATTACTTTGTAAAATTAATGCGGTAAACGATATCCACCCGTAAACTGTTATATCATTGTCTAGGCGTGATCTAACGATCGAAGCAAATGGGATTAAACGGCGATGATCATTTAGGCGAAAGCGCACCTGCGAAGTGCTTGCCATTTATCAAATTAAAGAAGATTATCGAAAGTCCTGTTTCAAAAAGAGGAAATTAGGTTAGTATAGACCGAAATCGATGACCATAAATAATTTTCAACATTCGATTAACAGATCATTACTAGATTGTTACTAGTAATCACCTCGTTATGAATATTCCACGTGCTACAGATAGAGCAGATACAATGCCCTGAATCTCGAATATATCGCGCTATGTTAATTATAAAATATTTTGTACTCATAAATCCTGCAATTCTATAATTATGCTAATAATTTGTTTCCAAAAGAGAATTCCTTAAGAATAAAATAAATAATTTGAAAATATATTTAAGAGAAGTGTAGAAAAAAAATAGAACACACGGAGCAAGAGGTTCAGAAATGTAGTGGAAACATTTTTGCAAGAAGTTTATTTTAATTATTTCTGAATTACTTCTCATATAAGTAATCTGCATAATGGATGTTTATCTAGAAGAAAAAGATAAAAAAGAAAAAAGATAAATCATGAAGAGAGATAATTACATTTCGCCGATAATATTTTTGATACAATATCAACATTTCGTGGGGATTAGTGTCTTCTGTAACAGCGAGTGAACGAATAATTAATCTAGGAAATCCGAGTTAAGAAATAAATTAAATGTGTAGCGTATGTATATACTTCGATCGGCTGGCAAGAAAAGCCGCGCGAAACATTACCTTTTACCGAGACGGTCGCTTTTGCCCTCGCCCATCGCATCGTCCTACCAAGCGATCGTCCTTCGAGGGATGCGAGTTGATGACGATCAAAAAGAACGGAGGATGTACCGTTTCCGAATGAGATTCGCGGAAAAAAGAAGAAAAGGAAAATGTGCGAAGGAAGGTGTAAGCGGAGCCAAGCCTTCCTTCTGGCGTGACTGGCTTTTCGGAGATGTTGATAAGAAGGTGCTGAGCCGGTGCGATACACCTGCGCAGTTGCGAGGGTTGGTCCGCCCAACAGGGTGGTGAAATAGGTGGTTTCATAGCGCCGAGCTAGGTGAAATTACGGTGAAATAACACAGCTCGATGAAAAAAGACTTAAAAATCTCTGCTTTAAAACCATCTCATCGAGCTATTATATAAATTTTTAAAAATTTGAGATTAAAATTATAAAAAAAACCATTTCCACATATTTCGCTATACCGTGGCGCGCGATACGTCAGAAAAATTTTATCTAATTCAAAATATTTTACTGGAACTTTCAAACTTAAGAAGGAATTTATTAAAGATTAGGATTTATGAGATATTTGTAATTAAATAAATTGAGTCTATTATATCGCAAGAATAAGTTATTAAAGATCAAGAATAATTTATAAATTTTACCAAATGGTAGACCCGCCATACTGCATATATTTGTAATTCTTACAGTAGCTTGAAGACAACATTATTGTTGTAAAATGTATTGTGTAATGTATTATTAATACATTAAGCAATGTATGTGTTAATAAAAGAATAATCAGAATGATGCATGGCCCATAAATGAAAGAGATTCATTTATAATCAAATTTCAGATTCAAATCTTTAATATTCCTTCTACGTATGCTTCACTTTCACAGAAGATTAATTGGAGAATTGAAGATTATAAATGAAGGAATTGTTATAAATCTCTAAGTTGATGTTTTATATATATATATATATATATAAGCAAATTAATAGAGGCCTAAAAACCTGCCAGTCGAAGAATGTAATAAATATATTACATTTTATTCTTTTTATTATATTATTTTCAATTATCAATTGTCCATTTGTAAAAAAGGCATGTTAAATCGATATTCGAATGTATCGAAATTACTGTCATTCTTCTGCGATTGATTCTGCCGATTGATTCCCTGCGCTTACTTCGTGAGCGGCTGTTATCGCGAAGATCATTTTGACAGCTGTGTTGTAAAAGAGATTAATAGTGTAACAATATTTTTAATTTTTAAATTATAACATTTTCCTACTTCTTTCAATTCTTTTCCATCCGAATTTTTAGTATTGCTATCTTTAACATTTTTCTATTTCTTTCAATTCTTTCCCACTTGAATTCTTACCCACCCGAATTTTCAATGTTGCTACCTACCCGCGAATTTTCTCATAGTCTCCCTAACTATCTAATACCTATTTTGAATACCTATTTTGTACTGGCTAATCCAGCGGGATTTTTAATCCGCGATCACTCAATGAAATATATTTAAGAAAGGAATTCAATATTTAAAAATCTATGTTCAAAAGCATAAATAGCATTTTATCATTTCCCTCCCAATAATTATGTGTAATTGTATACGTATACATAAAAATTTTTATCAAGCATATGTTTTCATTCATTTTGATCAATATATTGTCGATTAACTTTTTCTGATTCTTCAGGCCAGATTGGACCTATCTTTCGTTGCTCCTGGCCACGTTGCTCCATCGTCGATTCTGACCGTATAGCCAGAGATTCTGGCCATATATAGCCAGAGACAATAAAGGAAGGAGATATATTCCTTCAATTACTGGCTAATCAATGCCGGTAGATTTTTTGCTCAATTTTTACACGCGTCCGTCGATCGTAGAATCGTGTCGATCGCGAGGGCCATTCAAATATTAATAAAATATGAAATTGATAATGATTCTTAAAGTTATTTAGATTTATTAATAATATCATTTTTATGCAACACGCGTGATTAATCTTCGATTCAAAGTAAAAAATTCGATTATATATTATAAATAAATTTTAAGAAAATTGAATGATAAGTTAAAAATATTGCAAATGAAAAAAACGATTGTAATCTGACATAATGAATACTCTAACGTAATGAATACTCAAAATGAAAAATTCTAAAGCCCATATTATTCGTCCGTATTATTCGCAAAAACTGTTTACAAAAACAGTTATTTAAATCTCATCATGAATCAGATGAGAATGATGTAAAAGATTCAGACTGAATGACGTGAGATTCGAGCGAGATAATAAATTTCTCGCATAATTAGCATATCAATATTACGCAATATACAATGTTACAAGTTATTTAGCAATATAAACTTTAAATATCAAATATACGCATCTACATAAATCAAATACAGTGATATGAGCAATAAATTTCATAAACAATGTAAATGAGAAAATCTAATATAATATGTTAACAATACCTATATTAAGATTCAAATTAAAGATAAACTTTTATAGATTTTAATACAAAATGAATATATTTTAAATTAATATTTTGTATTTGATTATATTCCGCAATGAAACAGTTACTGAATCTCACGTCATGTTAAATTTTGCTTTAACTTATGTAAAGCCAAGTTATTAATTAATATAGATGGATAGATTAAACATGATTGGAATCAAATCGGCACGTTTGTTATATAATTTGTTATTAATGTTTGTTAATTGTTTCACTGATACATTACGTGGTACATTATTTAAAAATTTTTGAACATATCAATATTTGAACTATATAAATCTTTTATGCACCGACTTAGATATTTAATCCTGGTAATAAAATAGAAAGAGGAAAGGGAGGTAAATAAAAAATACACGTAATATATTCATTCATATTCTTGCTACACATAAATATAAAATATGACTCTCTTTTCCAACCCTCACGACACATGCCCAAACGTCAATAGGCACCAGCACGACGCGGTTTCCAGGCCGCTAGGATTCACGGATCCAAACAACAACGCCAGCCCGGCGCACTGGACTTCGTAAAGCCAGGACACCTGACAAACCTTCGCTGCAAGGGCACGTTTCCTCCGAAAGGCGAGAGTACCTAGGTATGCCTACTCTCAGACTACTTTAAGCCTCCTTTGGGCAGCTTGCAGTATAGACGCAATAGAGATTTCCCGAAGGTCTCGTACGCCTAGAATGTGGGCTCAGGATAGATCGGAGGACCGTGACCTCCAATTAATCCCTGCCCCGACTGGGCTGTTGATTTAATGTGCTCAGTCTAGGATAATCCTAGACACAATGCCCAATCAATTCAGACTGTGGCGATCGGGCCTCGAGGATTACCATGGGTTTTAAGTCATAATAATCCAAGTTAGAGAGTCATAGTTTATATATAACATCATATATTTCCTCATTCATATTAAGAAATATATATCATAAAAATATTTAAAATAAAAACTTAAATATTTAATTACCATGAAGATATTTAATATGAAAATTTAAATATTTTACTTTGTTTGTGAAGAATACTAATTTAATTGAATTTTTTACGCGGTTTCGTAACCATTTCAATAATTGTAAAATATTTGTTTCAAAAATTTAATGAATTTAATAAATTCTATATATTAATATATTTTCGAAAAATATTTAAT